TAACTTGATCTAAATATGAGTTTTTCTTCCCGATTTGTAAAAAATCCTTACGTGATAGAAAAAAAATTATTATTTTCAAAATATGTGTAGCTGAATTATGGAAAATCTGTTATTAAAACCAAAACAATTTTTATGAAGTTTAAATTCGCAGGCCTGTGTTATCAATCTCAAAACTAACAAAAATATCACGAACATAAAGCTGATGTAGCTTTGTAACATTTTCGGCTGTTATGAACATTGTGCCACACGAATCAATTATAACTTCTTAGTAAAGTACAAAAGAGGATTAGTGTTTTTAGAATGGAATGTTTTAGATATATGACTTTAAAATCATATTAGTAGGTGCACTTATTAGGAAAAAACGAAACAAATAATGGGCGCCATTTCACCAAGATTGTTGTGGAGTGCAGTCACACGTTACATAAGCTGTATTGATAATCCCCATGGCAACATCTATTTAGGTTTCGTATCGCCAGTTTTTAGCCCATTTTTTCGCATTATTAGAAGAGTAACAGCCATGAGTTCACTTTCGCAATTAATTTACACGATTTTTATCCAAGAATTTGAAATTTTGAATTTTCTGCATGTTGACTGAAATTGAATTATAAAACTTATAAGTTATGCGTTGTTTTGAAACGGTGAAATGTAGATAACTTCTCTGGCTTAATTACTTTAGAAATAATTCCGAGAAATAGTCATTTAAAACTAAACTTTAAGCTTCGTGTCGGTTAGCATGACACATTTCGACACTGTCTCAATGGATCGATGTTCTTTGAATGATTTCTCGTTTTTGGCAAAGTGTATAGTTCTGACACTATGACATAAAGAGCAAGTAAGATGACGTGATAGAAAGACAAATTTGACTTTGTAAACCAGTAACAGCATACACTTTGTACTAACATTAGAAGAAAAAGATTCAACCAGGTTTTCATAGAACGAAGAATTCACGAATCTCTCAAAATCGAATTTGAATAGTGTTTGATGTTTATAATTTCTTGTTATTTGAGGTGCTCATTTCAGTCAAAATTCGTCTCTAAGATATGGCATGAACAATGTTGATAACGTTGTGCGATAATTATTGAAATTGAAGAAATAAAGACATATATTTAATTTTCTATTTTAACGTAATAATTTTTTAATCAAAATCAGTGTTTCAAACCAATTATTATTAAACATATCTATCACACTCAAGTTAGGATCTGAACACCAATAATTCTAAAACAACCTTTACCTTCAAAACATTTAATACCTTCAAGCTTTTGTATCAATATCTAAGACAACGCTTGAAACCAACAACTGATGTTTGTCCTCAAATTCGATGACGAGGAACCCACTTTGAGATTAATAATGGCTGGAGACGGCTTGAATGGGTAATGAAGAAAAACTTTAATATAAGTTTAACATAACAGCAAATGTACAACGTTTCAACAAGGTTTTGTCATCATCAGGTACATCATGATGATGACAAAACCTTGTCGAAACGTTGTGAATTTGCTGTTATGTTAAACTTATATTAAAGTTTTTCTTCATTACCCATTCAAGCCGTCTCCAGACATTATTAATCTCAAAGTGGGTTCCTCGTCATCGAATTTACATATATATATATTTT